GAAGCTGGTGTAACTCTGGCTGCTGGGCAAGGTTTTTATCTTAGGCATGAAACGGCTGCTGAATTGTTCTTGTTGGACCCAGCTCAGTGGGTAGATCGATTCCCTCAGTGGGTGCTGCAGGAATATGTACCTATCTGTTGTGGCCTTCAGAAATGGGACAGACACCGTTTGACTCTAAAAGCATCAGCTCTGATGTTTAAGGCACGTACTAGGAATGTCAAAAGTATGCCTGTTTTTAAAAAGGAAATGAAACAAAAGTTTATCATCAGGCATGCAGGTGGTATAGAACTGATAACTTCAGCACAGGCCTTCCTGTTTCTGACGTCAAGCTGACATGGTTGGTACCAGCCGGATCCTGAACAGTGATGATGACAGCGTTGTTGCTATGGCTGGCACTTTATCCTCCTCCATTCCTAGCTGATGCCTCTCTTATTTCTTTCAGCTGGGATTCCTCAGCGCCATCACAGCTCAGACAGAACAAAAGACTCCGGGTCTCACGGGCACATACCGCCATGTTGACCGAACCACTGGCCAGGTGCTAACCTGTGACAAGTGTCCAGCAGGAACGTATGTCTCCGAGCACTGTACCAACGTGAGCCTGCGAGTTTGCAGCAGTTGCCCTGCGGGGACCTTTACCAGGCATGAGAACGGCATAGAGAGATGCCATGACTGTAGTCAGCCGTGCCCATGGCCGATGATCGAGAGATTTCCTTGTGCCGCCTTGACTGACCGAGAATGCACTTGCCCACCTGGAATGTATCAGTCGAACGGTACCTGCGCTCCCCATTCAGTGTGCCCTGTGGGCTGGGGTGTGCGCAAGAAAGGGACGGAGAATGAGGATGTGAGGTGCAAGCAGTGTGCTCGGGGTACCTTCTCTGACGTGCCTTCCAGTGTGATGAAATGCAAAGCCCACACAGACTGTCTGGGTCAGAACCTGGTGGTGGTCAAGCCGGGGACCAAGGAGACAGACAACGTCTGTGGCACACGCCTGTCCTCCAGCCCAACCCCACCTCCCCCTGGCACAGCTCTCTTTTCTCACCCTGAGCACATGGAATCCCATGAAGTCCCTTCCTCCACCTATGAGCCCCAAGGTAACTTAAACCTCATGACTTTCTTGCTGGAGGAAGGCTTTGAGCTCAGTAGAGTGGGCTTATAACTAAGGATGTTTTCTCCACTTTGCTGAATCTAAAAATCATCCCTTGGAGAAGGGAGCCTTCATTTTTGTGGCTAATTAAATTTGGCGTCTTTGGACTTAATAGAAACATTTAAACTCAGAAGGTTTCTATTAGGAGACAACAGATACCTAAAAAACTAGGTTACATCAAACTGGCCAATAAGAACGGAGAGAAATAAGGACAGTGTGTGACCTTACGTAAATCACTTAACCACTTCAGCTGTTGGCTCCGAACTGGCCGAGTGAGTAGATGAGTGATTTTAAGCGTTTAAGGTTTCTTTCAGATTAAAAAGTTATGCACCATGGAGTTAATCCAGGCTAGACAAAGCCAGAAGGAGAGACAGTAAGGGGGAGCTTGTCATCATATCTAGAAGGAAAAAGGACTGTCGTCCAAGGTAGGACAAAATCATAGGAAGGGAAGTTAAAAAACTTCAGAAAGCAAGCTCATTGAAATCCACATAAAGATAACCAGCCCTCACACAAGGATTTCCGGCAATCCCGACTTCATGTCCTTTCCGTGGTATCCCTGTTTGTCCAGCATTCTAGTCCAACCTCAGACGGAATGAACACATTTCGCCATGTCCTCTTTCATGGCATTTAGTTTCTATGCGATGGCGGCCACGGTAAACCGCGCGTCCCAGCACACTGTGGAGCGTGCCCACGCCCGGTCTTCATTGTTAGCTGCAGGGGATGCTCTCTCACCCCACCGTCTTCGCAAGGAAGAAATGGGTGTGAGAGCCTCAGGGGCTGACCCAGGCCAGCTTCTGTCCCCCGAGACGCTCAGCTCCCCTGCCTCACACTCTTTCGTGACGACTACTGTGGAAATGTCTCAGGAGTCCACAGAGCCCGGCCTAGCTCTGTTATCTGTTGGTTACAGCCGCTGGAGGGTCCAGCCTTCCGTTATTTCCTGACCTGTTGTGCAGGGTTGGATTTGGGCCTGAGCTCTTTATCTCAGTCACAGACTGTTTCACCACTGAGTCACGACACAAAGCTAAAGGTGAGAGAGGAGGAGAATGTGCAGAGAGTTTTTAACTGAAGCGAGTTCTTTTCGTAATCAAATCAACGGAGGGTTGACTAGCGGCAGACACACACTTGTCCACTTAGTATTTGAAGTCTAGGAGAAGCTATCTGGAGCTCAAAAATTGAATCTCCGAAGATGTCCATGTCCTGGGTACCAGAAACTGAGTTTAACTATTCAGATTTTTAACCTTTTATATAAAGATGCTGTTAGGACCTTTATGAAAATGTGCAAAGTAATGTTTGATCTTAAGCTCCATCAGTCACGTCTTCTTTGACGGTGTGACCTGACCAGGGACAGGAGAGAATGTGTAGATGCCCAAATATGGAAAAGCTCTTCCCCCTCCTTACTCTTTCTTCTAGGCATGAACTCCACAGACTCCAACTCTACTGCCTCTGTTAGACCAAAGGTACCCAGTGGCATCCAGGAAGGGACAGTCCCCGACAACACAAGCTCAACCAGTGGGGAGGAAGGCGTGAACAAGACCCTCCCAGGCCCACCACAAGTCACCCACCAGCAAGGCCCCCACCACAGACACATTCTGAAGCTGCTACCCACATCCATGGAGGCCACTGGCGAGAAGCCCAGCACGGCCATCAAGGCCCCCAAGCGGGGCCATCCCAGACAGAACCTGCACAAGCATTTCGACATCAATGAGCATTTGCCCTGGATGATTGTCCTCTTCCTCCTGCTGGCGCTGGTGCTGATCGTGGTGTGCAGCATCCGCAAGAGTTCCAGGACTCTCAAGAAGGGGCCCCGGCAGGACCCCAGTGCCATCGTGGAAAAGGCGGGGCTGAAGAAATCCTTGAC